TGGGAAGACCAAAGACAAGTGCCTTGATCCAAGTCTGATATAATCAAGAACAAGAACCTCTCGTTCTTTCATATCAGTCAATATCATCCCATATCTCAATATCAGAGTTTCTGTTTTATGCACTAGAGACAAAAAGCCAATTTGGTGCTTCAAAACCCAGCCCTACCTTGATCCAAGTCAATATAATCAAGAACAAGAACCTCTCGTTCTTTCATATCAGTCAATATCATCCCATATCTTAATATCAGAATTTCTGTTTTATGCACTAGAGACAAAAAGCCAATTTGGTGCTTCAAAATCCAGCCCTACCTGCTGAGCATGTACCAAAAGAAGGACTTACAGTTGTAAATATGTATCTCAAGTAGCTCAGAAGCACTTGTCAAGGACCTGAGCCATTTCAGATACATAACCATCAAAAGAGTCAAGATCTCAGTCTCTCAGATTAGATGGAAGGACAGAATCGTAGCTGATAATCACCAGCCAACAAACTAGCTCACCTAGTGCCATACATACTGACCAACACTTTGTACTTTTTTATGCTCCCCCTTAGTTACCTGTTTTTAGTTCACCTTAACTAATTCTGGAGGTCACACAGGTGAGCTATACATTATCAGTCTCCCACTGCCTTAGCTGTTGGAACACCTCTGACAAGTGGATTATGATGATAATAGCTCCTCAGATTAATTTTCAGGGACTTGATGGCCACTTTTTGTGAAACTCCAACTTTTCACATGGGTGGGCCTGTACAGGTGACTGATAGGTGACCTTTTGATGTTAAAAGGCCAAATATTTCATGTCAGATCATGCTAACATTGCCATTTTCTGAACATGCATCCCACAAAGAGCCATGAAGTTTGATTATCTATGTGCAGACCCCTGATCACTACACCTCCAATCACCTTTCCCCATGCCTTGGACCATACTGCTTCTTTACCCCATAAATATCCTCAACTCTACCCCTCAAGGAATGGATTTGAGAATTGGGTCTCAATTTCTTTGCTCAGCTGCCTGATGAATAAACTCTTTCTATTTGCAAAACTTGTATCAGAGATTGAAATAGTGTGCAGTAGACAACATGGGCATGGTTCGGTAACATCCTCTAACTCTGCTCCAAAGTTTTAATCTCCTTTATGACTCGAGTTTATGAACAATGAATTTTTAGAAGGCCAGTAAAATGCTTTTAATTTACAAAAGCATTTTACATTTCAGAACGATTTCCATTAGAAAACAATTAAAGTTAATGTCTTGATTTCTAATGACTTTAAACTTTCAATTTTCTAGAACTTTCATTTATACAAGACCTTTACTGTGTCACTTTTCACAGGCCAAATAAAAATGAGGTAGCATGGTAATGCTTTCCATTATTTTCTACCGTAGCATAGACACATTAAAGGGAAGTAAACAATTGCAAAGATAATCTGGAAAAATAATCCTCTGTATCTTATTAAATGAAGCAACAATGATAGCTCAGAAAACAGCATCAGTAACCTTTTGTCACAATAACCTCCTTTTACTATTAAGTAAGATATATATACTAGTAAAAAGCAAGTAATAAAGTTATAGACAAATATAATTAGCAATATATATTCAGAAAAACTAACCAACTTTCTGAGACTTATGAAGAATTTATTTTTTTCTCTCTCTCTCTTTTTTTGTTTTTTTTTTTTGTTGTTGTTTTTTCCGGTACCGGGAATGGAACTCACAACCTCGCGCTTGCCAGGCAGGCGCTATACCGCTGAGCTAAATCCCAAGCCCCTAAGAATTTATTTCTCAAAGATACACATCTGCAGGTAATCAAGAGAGCACAGTATTAAAATAACAAAACTACTTTCAGAGGTTCTTCGGAAACATGCTTGAGTTAAAGGATGATCTGTTATTTTTGAAGAAAAAAAAAAACCAGGAAAACAAACCTCCGCTTGAGTCAGATGTGCAGAGGCCAATGCAGTTAGCAGATGTTATGCCCAGTGCTTTGCTTGTGTTGTTTCATTTAATCATCACAGCAGCCTCAGGGAACAAGAACCATTCCTCCTACTTTATAGATGAGGAAACTGATGGCAGGGGAAAACGCAGTCTCAGGCCGCTCGATCAGTGACTGGCACAGCTATAATTCAACCCAAAGCCTGAGACTCACATCTCGGTTTCTTTTAACAAATGAAGGTGCTTCAACCAGCCAAATCTTCAATACTAATTTACTTAGGATGTTTGTGATAACAAATGTAGGTAGAAAGATCTGTGGTTTGGGAACATTGGGATTCTTCAGAACACACGACTGTCTAAAGCTGTCCATCCACGGTGACAGACTGTTCATTTCCTCCATTTTGTGCTAATATACAAGCTCTCTGTTGCAATGAAAATTAATGACTACTCCTCAGGATATAAAATCAACACATAAAAATAAATAACCTTTCTATACACCAAAAATGAACAAACTGACAAGGAAATCTAGAAAACAATTCCATTCACAATAGTTTAAAAAATACCTAGGAATCAACCTTACCAAGGAGGTGAGAGACCGCTCCAATAAAATCTATAGACAACTGAAGAAAGAAATTGAAGAAGACACCAGAAGATGGAAAGACTGCCCATGTCCATGGATTGGCAAAATTAACACTGTTAAAATGGCCGCTTTACAGAAAGGGCTCTACAAGTTCAGTGCAATCCTTGTCAAAATTTCAATGGTATTTTTCATAAAATTAGAAATGAAAATCCTAAAATTTATATGCGAACACAAAAAAAACCCAGAATAGCCAAGATAGTCCTAAGCAAAAATAGCATGATATTGGCACAAAGATAGACACACCAATTAATGGGAAAGAAGAGAGGATGCAAAAATAAACCAAACCAAACCATACAAACAAAAAACCCACACAGTTATGGCCCTCTGATTCTTCACAAAGGAGCCAAAAACGTAGGTTAGAAAAAAAGACTGCCTCTTTAACAAACAGTGCTAGGAACACTGGGTTCCATATGTAAAAGACTGATGCTGGATCTCTATCTCTCATCCCATACAAAAATCAATCTGAAATGGATTTTTTAAAAACCTAACTAAGACCTGAAACTTTGAAACTGCTGTAAGAAAATGGGGACACATGAGGCTATAAGCATAGGCAATGACTCTCTTTTTTCCCTTGTTTTTGAGACAGGGTCTTGCTATATAGATCAAGCTGGCCTTGAATTCATGGCAATCCTCCTGCCTCAGCCTCCCAAATACTGGGATTATAGGCATGTGCCACCACATCCAGTTTGGCCAATGACTTTCTAAACAGGACCCAAATAGCACAGGAAATAGCAGAAAGAATCAACAGATAGAACTATATAAAATTAAAAAGTTTCTGCACAATAAAGGAAACAACTAACAGAGTGAAAAGACAGCCTATAGAATGGGACAAAATCTTTGCCAACTGCTCTTCTGACAGAATTATTATTTAGAATATATAAAGACTAAAAGAAACTAACACCAAAAAAAATCACATAGCCCATTCAATAAATAGGTAAATAAATTGAACAGACTTCTCAAAAGAAAAAATGCAAATGGCCAATAAGTATATGAAAAAATTTCCACATCTTAAGCCACTAGGAAAATGCAAATCAAAACTACACTGAGATTCCATTTCAACCAGAACAGAACGGCTACCATCAGGAACACAAAAAATAGAAATGCTGGTGAGGATTCAGGGAGAAGGAACCGTTCTACACTGCTGGTGGGTATGTAAATTAGTAGAGCCACCATGGAGATCAGTGCAGATGTGCTTTAAAAAACTAAAAACAGAACTACGGTGTGACCCAGCTATATCACTCCTTTGTATATACCTGAAATAATTCATGTCAGCATACCATAGGATACCTGCCTATCTGTGTCTACTGTGGCACAATTCACAATGGTCCAGATATGGAAAGGTGCCCATCAACAGATGAATAGATTAAAAATGTGGTATATGCACACAATGGAGTGTTATTTAGTGTAAAGAACTAAATTAGGTCATCTGCAGAAAATGCATGGAAATGTAAATCACCATGTTAAGCAAGATAAGCCAGACTCAGAAGACAAGTATTACATGTTTCCCTAACGTGGAATCTAAAAACGATGACAAGAAAGTAGAAAGACTACTGTTAGACAAGGAAGGGAATAAGGGGAGGGGATGTAAGGGAAGGTAAAGGGGAGACAAAAAAAGCTATTAATAATATCATTAAGAAAGCGCAAGGTCGTGAGTTCGGTTCCCGGTACCGGAGAAAAACCAAAACAAAAAATAATATCATTAAGAGATCATGATGTTGACATAAATTCACTTAAGTCAAAGGTATCCACTACACTCTATTAAGTGAAATGGTGGTTACAAAGCAATTGGCACTGCCAAATTTTTATTTTAAAAAATGTAATAACATATTGCGATATCAAGAAGTCATGTAGAATGGCGTTTACATAACTGTTTTAATCTGTCTCTGGGAGTGAGATGCTGAGTACATTTTTCTTCTTGCATGAGTAGTTTTTGACTGGTGATATTATAAAATGTTTCTAAGTAGAGGAAATTTAGAATTACTATGTGAGATGATAGATATGTGAATTAACTTAGTTATACTAATCATTTCACAACCTGTACAGATCTCAAATTATGTTGTATATGTTAAATATATGATTTTATCTGTCATTTATACTCAAAAGAAATATTTTACAAAGCAAGTGAGAAGACTGCAAGTGTAGAAATGTAAAGAGAAGTATAGAAGGTATTAAAAGTCCAGGATGAAGTAGCCTTTCTAGAGGAAGGAAGAAGGTGTAGTTGAGAAACAGCTTGAGGTTGTTCTTTCATCCTTCCTGTGAAAACATGGTTATTCACTGTGATTATACATGTGTCTTCCACGAACCTTTCCAAATGTGCTTCATTTCACAGTAAAATGTTTTTAAAATAAACTTCATAGAATCAGGAAAAAATTGATGACTGCCTTGATATTTTTAACATTTAAATAATATATCATCATAATGATAAAGGCAAAGAGACACATACCTGGGTCAGTAGCAGAGATAATGGCTCCAAAAAAGAGACAGTCTGTGTAATAAAATTTATCAGAGAGCTGCCCCACAATCTTCATGAGCTTCACCACACCATACATGAGATTTCTGTAAAAAGGTAAATTAAATTATGTCAGGAAAAATCTTGCGAACATGCAAGCTGAGGGGGCACATGCTTCAAAGGAGATTTATGAAAGCAACAGATAATTAGTATGATCTCCAGTTAGCAACAATATTAAGGCATCTTAAGCAACTGGGTGTTAGAGGAGAAGGAAGACTATAGAACCTGATATAATATGTAGTAAATTGCAACAAAACTCGTACACTCTGAAATGGTACATTTACAGTCACACAAAGCAATGGGCTGGATGAAGCTGGAGGGGAAAGATGAGTTGGTCACAAAGATCCAAGCTGTTACTGCCTTCTCTGCAAGGAAAGGAAAAGAGGTAAAACTTTTTAAATGTCCTATTAACACATCAGTGTCCCCACTGACACACCTGGCCACTTGCTCTGCATGGGCCAGGCAGGCCAGCAGCAATCCTCCTTATGTTGGGCAGAACATGGTCCAATAGGAACCACAAAGTTCAATTTTTCAGCTCCACTGAATCACATTTCCTACATGACACCTTACTAATTGGGAACACTGAGGAGTATTTTTAAAATGGCTAGTATGTGAAAGAAAAGGTCTAGTATGTGTTACAAGGGTGTGTGTGTGTGTGTGTGTGTGTGTGTGTGTGTGTGTGTGTGTGTGTGTAGTGATAGAGCAACTGCAGGGGTTAAGGAAGTAAAAATAACCACGAATTAACTCATTGTGTTCTACAGCCAATCCTGTAATAATTAGATTTGTGACGGATGCTTAACACAGTGGATGGGTAGAAGCAAAGAAGAAGTCATATTTGCAAAATGGAATTCTTGTGAGAAGAAATAGTTACAACTTAATGCTTACCTAGTATGTGTGGTACTGTCCCAAGCACTTACCTATTTAAAGTTCAGTTCATATCCATTCTGTGGCACAGATTTGATTTGCCCTTTCTTGCTCACCAATGGTTCTTTCATACACCTTTTAAATATTTCCTGAAACTAGATCCTCCTCTCCATTTCCTTCTACTACAATCTTAGACCTAGACAACAGAGCTCTCTGGCAGCCTTTTCATCATCTTACTTCCCAAAGTCATTAATGCCAGTGACATAATCTGTGGCTCATCAATGATTTTTCATTTCTTAAAGGATAAACTCCAAGTCCCTCCTTTCCTGACAAAATAAAAGACCCTTGCCTTTATCTCCAGGTTTCTACCTATTTTTTTAAATTAACTAACATCCTTAATATAGTCAGGGCTAATGTTTTATGTTCCAAGATCCTATCTAGGTACTACATCATGTTTAGTCATCAAATCTCTCCAGTCTCCTCTTGCTTGGGACAGTTTCTTAGACATTGCTTACTGCTGATGACCTTGGCAGTTTTGAGGAATACCAGGCAGGTATTTTGTCCTTCATTTGGAATTTGTCTGATTTTTTTCTCCTGGTTAGACTGAAGTGATATATTTTGGGGTGGAAGATTTGGGAGATAAAGTACCATTCTCATCACAAATATGAAGAGTATATACTATCAACATGATTTATCACTACTGATATTGACCTTTTTTATTTTTATTTTTTGGGGTACAGGGAATCAAACTCAGGACCTTGTGCTTGTCAGGTATGCACTGTGCCGCTGAGGTATATCCCCGGCAGATATTGACCTTGATTGCCTCACTCAAGTACCATCTTCCAGGTTTCTCCATTTAAAAGCTATTCTTCTTTCCCCCTCTTTTCTGTACCATACTCTTAAGAAGAAATCATTATGCACAGCCCACAAAGCACAGCTGGAGTGAGGTACTGGAATGGGGGGACTAAGCCGCACCTCCTTGAAGGGATGTATCTACAAAAATTATTTGGAATTTGGCACAGGAGATTTGTCCCTTTTCTCCCATTCATTTATTCATCCAATTATTTCTTTCACTCTTTGTATGGTAATCTAATACAAACACAATGTTATTCATTTTGTTGTTCTTTAGCCACTGGGGAGTGTGGCCATTATGGGAACTTTCAGGTTGGCCCTTGTGTCCCTTTGACATGCCACTCATCCTTGTGTCTGTATGTCTTTTGAGTACTTACTTTGTGGCACTGCAGGAAGAATTTTCATGTCTATTTCCTTTCCCCACCTTAGAAAAAGCTATTTCTACAAGGACTCTGGTTCCTTTCATTGGAGAATGATAATAGAAGCCAAGATCTAGGAACTGGGAGTAATTGTATTTCATTGTTTTTTTTGGTTTTTTTTTTTTTGGTTTTTTTCTCCGGTACCGGGAACCGAACTCACGACCTTGCGCTTGCCAGGCAGGCGCTTTGCCGCTGAGCTAAATCCCCAGCCCCTGTATTTCATTTTAATCTTCTATTTTTTTCAAAAATGTATGCTTATTAGTACCTGTTTGAAGTACACAATGATTACAGACTTCATGGGGAATTGGTACATGTACATAACACATAATAATTTCCTTTTTACTTCCCCTTACCCTCCCATCTCTCCCCCTCCTCCATCGCTAGGTCTCCTTCCCATTCATAGAGGATCTATCTCCCTATTTTGTATTATCTTTTACTTTGCTCTTTAAGTTATTTGTACCTTGGGTTTCTTACATAAGAGAAACTATGCGATACTTATGTTTATGTGCCTCATTCACTTCAGAATTCAGCTTAATTTTAATGTAAATAGTCGCATGTGGCTAACAACTACCATACAGGACAGCACAGCTCTCAATCCTAACTGCATGATCTCAAACTAAATACTAGACTCTGTGCACCCATATGGACCTCAGCCCTTTAGGAAGTGCGTTAATTTGGTTATATGACAAAGATTCCCTTACCCAATAATGAAGCAAGAAACAGCAGTCCCCAAGAAGGCATAGGCCAGAATAGATCCAAGATTTCTGAAAAAGTGTCTCTGAATAAAACAAACAACAAACAAAAACAAGAATTACACTGTGATTTTTAACAGCAAGCATAAGAAACACATAAGTAATTATAATGGAAATTACTCCTGATTAATGCTATTTAGCCTTAAATATCATGTTTTTAAAACATTGTCTGTGTTGTTAATCACTGAGCAAGCACGCAAGGGCTTGGTAAATTTTCAGAAAAAGCCACTATGGCTGATATTAAATTATATGGAATTAAATGGAGAGGGGTGAGGGAGGAGGAGGAGGAGGGAGAGGGGGAGAGGGAGAGAGGGAGAGAGGAAGAGAAGGAGAGAGAAACAGAGAGAGAGAGAGAGACAGAATCATATATATAGATTTAACCCAAATCATTTTTTACTCTCTGATTCAGCTAGTCACTTCCTGCTCTGGCGGTACTTTCAAAGAACATTATAGATAGACGTGAAAAAGTCTCATCCAAAGAGTTTTCTGCTTGATTTGATAGCAGAAAATAGAGTACTAAATATCTGCTCACAGAGTTTGAACATTTCCTTATATTAATCTGGATTAATCTTTGGGGCCTGGAAAAGAGAGACAATAAAAGTGGAAGAGAAATGAGAATAGGTAAAGCTCCACTTAAGGTGGACATGCTTATATAGAAAGAAACTCCTACCAATATAAGAGCTAGCAATTACTCAGAGGTGGCAAAACTATAATCTTTTCAATATTTCTTCACATTCATTGGCTACCTTAAAAATATAACACACACACACACACATACATACACACACACACACACACACACACACACACACACACACACGGATTTACTTAGAAGTCTTTAAGCCTATGGGATACTCTGACTGTGGGATAAGTTACGCTTTTCCTTGAAATCCTAAGTCATGGTTCTTACTTCTTAAGGCAAAATCTGTTCTCATTCAACAATCAGAATTATTTAACAAAAAAGATAAAATCTCCTAATTTAACAAGGGCCAGGATCATTTTACCTAAAGTATTTCAAAAGGCAGCAGGGCCCCAGTGTGCCAGCTGAGTAACATCAGGGAAAGACAAGGCACGGGAAAAAGAACCCAGCCTGCACCATGCAGCCACCACAAAATAGGACCAGACAAAGGCATCTTCTGGCCTGCATCACAGATGGAGAGCTAGAGCTCTCAGCTTCAGCCTTCCCTGATGCCTGCCCCAGTCTGAGGTTGCAAAGAAGAGGTCAAGGAATGGCCAATGCCCTAAGCCACCTGCTAAGAAAAGAATACTTCAAGGTCTTGCCATGTCAACTGTCACCAAATGAGGGTGCTGCCTGTACAGATTATGGACACATAGGTTTGACTTTTAAATCATTGTCCCCAGTCTTTTTATAAAGATAATGAATTTTAATGCTAATATTTTGTAAAAAGATAATTATATTTCAGTAATTCAACAACTGTAAACTAACTTCCCTTTTAAAAATCTATTAAAGGCTTAAATCATGCAGTGCTAACAGTACATCAAGGATAAGACATGAGACCATGAAGTATCCAGGAACACATTTCAATCCCAGATGTGCTTCTCTTGCTGCTCAGCTTGCTTTTGGGTAACCATCCCCGTGATTAGTATAAATATATATTAAAGTAAATGAATATATATTAAAGTAAATTCATATTCATGATACTAGCCAAAGCACAAAATTAGAAATGTAAATCTACTACCAAAATACATTCATAATATATTCTAGAATCACAAGCACATAAATTACCCATCCCTTATTCAAATCTGCTGATATGAACTAAAATTTTACTGTACCTTCAAGAGATATACCATTTATTTGTATATTATAACATCTAGTGCTTAAATGTACACTTCATAGTTCACAAAGGACTTTTGTATACACTAGCCCATCCAGTTCTCAGCATGCCTCCAGGATGAAGCTGTTGTTTCTACCATCTTATACAAGGGAAATCTAAGACTCAAACGGATGACATGAGTTGCCTGAAGTCATATATCCATCAAAACACAGCTCTAGAACTGGAAAGCCAGTCTCTGGAACCCAAGTCATTGCTCTCTCACTGCATTAGCTTCCCTACATCCAAGTTTAATCTCCACCTTTTCCCTTTAAGAAAGAAAGGACAGGAGGTGTCCAATGAAATGCTAGATCTATCATTCTATGTTTATTTAACTACAATATAGCCATGACTGGCGCAGAGTCTCCCCTACTCGTTATTCCGAGGTACAGAATGGAAAGAAGAGACAAAAGGAGACGGTGGCATGATCCAATAAAGCCTTCAAGAATCTACACCTGGGGCTGGGGATTTAGCTCAGCGGCACAGTGCCTGCCTGGCAAGCACGAGGTCGTGAGTTCGATTCCCAGTACCAGAAAAAAAAAAAAATCTACGCCTATGACACACCAGAACAAGTAAGATTTGCTTTCAGTGAAAATCCCCTCGATATTCCAATTCATAGTGTACCATTATAAGCCCTACATTTCTACTCCTTGGAACACCCTATCCTCTCCAATTCCTCACTGACGAGTGTTCACATGTTGGTGTGTGTGTGTGTGTGTGTGTGTGTGTGTGTGTATACTTAGTGGGGAAGTTTACCAAAAATGAAGGCTTCTACAGATGAATTATTTCCCAGCCAATGCCCTGTATGCAAACCATGAGTGATAGCAAAAAATCAAAGCTAATTCCAATGATGACTGCTTCTAATCAGAAAAAAGGCCCATGTCTGACTGAGGACTATGTGTACATAGGTCAAATGTTCTGCATGTACCTGTTTACATACAATCAGTTAAATAGTGAATACTTACCATACATTCAACTGACAATGTTTAATCAGAGATGGCAACCACAGTAAGAACCAACTATTCAGGGCTTTTATAAAGACTATTTAAAAAGGAAAAAGACTATTAGCTGATAACCCGAAAGACTAGCATGTGAAAAACAGCTTAAATTGGGAACTAGCAAAGCCTGTTATTTGTTTTTCTTTTAAGAAAATAGGGCTGATGAAAGGAAGATTGTGCAAATATGATGTTTTTCAGCCTTAAAGTGGCTTTCACAACCCATAATTTGGTTTCATTTAAAGCAATTATGACTTTGATTACACACTGAGATTAGGTGTTTAAAATAACAAATTATTCATCATTAATTTTGGTCTGAAAAAGAATTTCAAATTCTCCATTTAAGTAAGTAAATAAATTTATTTAAACTCATAATAATCATCTCCTATCTATCACGTGTCAATAAATGACATACAGGTTCAGATGATTTGGGCAACCCCATAGGCAAGTAAGGAAAATGGGGTCGTTTATTTGTAAAGCACACCTAAGTCCAGACAGCACAGTGGTGGGCCCTGGAATCAGAGCGGGAATAACCTTGACTCAGCCCCACACCACCTACGTAACCTCATTCACACCATTAATCTTTCTAAGTTTGGTTTCATCGTCAGTGAAATACAGGACGCTCTTTACAAGTGAGTGCACAAATATGTATTGGGCTGGTGTTCAAAAACGCACAGTCTCCTACCCTAAAGTATCTATCATGGGGAGAGGATTTCTATTGCATCCCTCTACCTGTGACGTTCCACTCTGCAGATGATGCAGTAAGGAGGCGTCACTCTATCTATGAAAAGGGAAACTGGCTTGATCCTGACTTATAGTCCTGACCCTCTACACAGTAGGGGATCATTCTTGCTCCTCTAACCTCCATGCTGTGAGCAAAAGAGGCAGCCTTGGGCAGCCCAGGTGATTTATAGGATCTCTCCACTTCAGCCTCCATACCTATGACTGTGACCAACCTACTGGCTAAAGGACATCTGTCTTCAATTGATGAAGTGGGTAGTAAGGAGCCCCATTACTAAGGACTAAGCGACATACTCCAACATAGGCATACCAGGGGAACTGGATCATGAATTGATCACTTAATCACAAGGTAACCGCTTGTGTCTGTTTTCAGTACACTGAAAGCCTGATAGAGTAGCAGTATGAGCTAATAACCAAACACTATTACTTTCTTAGAGCTTATGTGAAGATTGGAAAGAATGTATCAAACACATAAATAAGTATGTACAAAGTTCCTATACATACCTAATACACTCTATAACTATTTTTATGTTGGTTGGAAATAGTTGTAAATTCTCTGAAAACTGGAATGGCTTTGAAAGAAGAACCAGTCTGATGGGCAGGCATCCTTTCATAAAATGATTTGGGAAGTGTTCCTTTCTCTACTGTTTGAAAGAATTTGTGTAGGACTGATATTATTTCTCCCTTAAATGCTTGATATAATTCACCAGTGAAACCATCTGGGCTGGCAAGGTTTTTAATTACAAATTCATTTTTTAAAATTAGCATAGGGCTGTTCAAGTTTTCTTTCTCTTCTTAGGTCAGTTTTGGTCATTTGTATCTTTCAAGGAATTTGTCTATTTCACCTAAGTTGTCAAGTTTACAGGCACAAATTTGCTCATGGTATTCCCTTATAATCCCATTAATGTCTGAAGGGTCTTCGGTGATGTCTCCTCTTTCAGTCCTGATACAGGTAATTTATTTCTTTTTTCTTTTTTTTTTTTTTTTTT